AATTTATAAACTAAATCTCTTTTCTGTTGTTGTTGTTATTTTTGTTATTGTACTTCTTGCGGTTTTTTTTAAATTTGTTCAACGGGCAAGAATCATTTCCTGTGGCCGCGCAGTCAGCACTTTCTACGTTAATTACGACTAAAACAGAAAACTAAAACAAGAAAAAAATCCAATTAAATTAATAAAATTTTATGATCGCCGTGTGTCGGCGCACATAATAAAAACAATTGAATTATGAAGAGAACATTGCGTAAAAATGAATTCGAGGCAGAGTATTAACATTTTTCTCTGTTTGTTTCTCGTTATTGCTGTTGTTGTGGGCTTACTTTGTTGTTTCGATTTTATGTGTTTTTAATTACAACCCGAAAAAATCACACACAGATACCTCAAAATGAGCCAGTTCGGAAGCGAAAAGAAAACAGAGAAGAGGAGAGAGTGTCGATTTTGGATATTTTTAATTATATTTTGGAAAGCTGTTTCTTAAATTTCTGGTCTTTTAGTCTTTGCGGCAGCGTTAGTTTATTTTATACATAGAAATTTATAAATAAGTTAAAAAAACAGCTTATAGCTAATTCAATCAAAGTTTTAAGCCCTTGACATCAACTGGAACCATTTTCTGACTTGGCTTAAACGGCAGGTGCCTACTTGCAACTTGTTTTCCTAATTTATTAAAAATTTTATTTTTAATAGGACAATAGATATCGTTTTTGTCCATGATATGTAAACTGCAAATTAACCTATAAATTTAATAACAATTCTTATGTTAATAAAAATATGCAATAGAAATTCACTTAGCTTAATCAAATAATGTTTAATTTAATTCGATTTTCAATCAATTCCCTGTTTATTTTCATTCATCAGTAGCTTGAGTTTTTCATTGTAGTGCATCAAAGAGCGCTCCAATTCCCCCAATGCCATTTTCCAATTACGTTAATAGCTCATAAAGCGACGTTTTTGTTTGTTGTTCTTCGCTTCGGACTTTTTAAAGCCGTTTGAGAGAGCTTTTGTGGCACAATCACAAATCGAGAACTGCTTCTCCGAATCGGGCATTCGGCCTAACAATCCCAAACAATCCATGTAGCGCCCTCCTCCATGAAAATGTTTGGTTATCGAGAAGAACTGAACTATATACATATACAAAATTATGTTTGTAGATCTGTAGTGGCATATTTTTCAGCTGACTTAGGGCTTGAGAGTAATTACGACGGAGGGCACTTAAAAGAATTGTAGCTGCTGCTGAGGCAGCTTCATTTTCCTGGGGGGCCATAAAGTTTTTATGATCCACCATTGATAGTGCGAGAGAATTCTATGGCCAAGCGCCCTCTGCCCGCCCCGCCTCTTTAGACCGTACTTTGATTTTCCAGCCAGATCAGGTGAACATCACAGATTTGACAGTTGATTCTGAACGGTGATCAAAGCCAAATGCAGTTTTCCTGGGGGCAGGTCCCTCTGAAAGTCTTTGTCTCAGGTTCGATTTTGTTTATAAGATTTCACAACCGTTTGGCATCCATTAATCATTGCGTTGGAAGTATGTCTGACTTTTCCTCTCGTTCCGTTTTTTTTTGTTTTTTAAGCAAGTGAATTGAGAGAGATAAAGAAAGAGGCAACTTTTCAGCGGCTTCGTCAGTTTCCATTTTCAATTAATAGACATATTTTCCGCAAGACTGCACAGAAAAAAAATCGAATCCATGTTTTTAGGTGAACAAATGCACAAACCAATGTTAAACCTTTAGTATTCAAAAGATAATAGGCAAAACTTATCATAAAATTCAAGGAACATTTTTATTTAGACATCTTTTATTTTTTGGCTATATTTATTTACGGTGGCTATTTAGTAAAATTAAATACCTACCAACAATTTCACAATTACAAACCAATTTGGTATTCTTTTTTCTGTGTAGCGTTTTCACCTTTTGTTTATTTGTTGAATCAGCCCCGTCAAACTGGGAAAAAAACACTACTCGAGTTGCACGTCAGTGTTGGTAATGTGTTAGCACAGGCAGATAAGTCCAGGCCACTAAATGCTACGGGTCTGAGACTTTAGCGCAAACATTTTGACAACTTGTGAACTTTAGACTGACAGCCCGCCACTGTCCCTCTGAATCCACGTCCCTCAGCCCCTGCTAAGTAGTTCAACGTGGTAGTATCATAAACCATAAACCACAAAATCCCCACAACAATTAAGGAACAATCACAAAATGCTGCCGAAATCTTTTGGGCTGCTTAATGAAAAATAAGTTTGAGATGTATAAGCAAACAGAAAAGCGCCAAGCAACTGAAGCATCATCGTGAGGTTCAGTTACATCAATAATACCAACCGCGATTAGCAGAGCTATCAACCTATAGAACTGTCCAGGCAAATTAAGTTTATCGAGCTGGAACCTAAACACAAAAGATGAGGCTTGATCAAACACGTTTAGAGATTTGATTAATGGGGCAATTAAATAATTAGGTTAATTAAAAAATAGGTAAGTTATTTCATTAAAAATTAAACACGGCTTGATTAGTATATTTACAAAAGGTTTGAAATTAACAATTTTTTTTGTTTAACGACAAGCTTAACAGGAACCAACCCACTGACGGATAGATAATGTTGGGGATCCCATATGAAATAAGATTTCAACAAAATAATGTGGATAGTCTTCACAGGAAATAAATAAGGCTTAAGAGTGAGTCATTTCTTAAACAATAAACATAAAAGGGAAATATAAGAAACAGATTACGATAACGGGTTGAAAGTAATACTTCACATTATATAGTTTTCATAGAAATTTTTCAAATTAATTTGACAGCTAAATCTGGAAAACTATAGATGAATAATTGTATTCACAAAATTGTAAGTTGTAATAGTGAATTTTTAAGGTTTCCTGTCTAACTATTTAAAATAAACAATGATTTAAAATAACAAATATCATTACAAATATATTTTAATTCCAAAGTATACAATTGAATAAAGAGTATCTTCAGTTAGCATTATATGCTACAATTTAAGCGGCAGCACGAGATCAACACGCCATATAGCCAAGATCTCTGCTGTTGACTGTCTAAGCTTTTGGTAGCTGCTCCCGTTTTTGTTTTAGCTGGCTTTCAGCTTTTTGCCGAGCATCAGTTGAGCTCTGTGAAATGTGTTTTTATGGTATTTGAAAATGATTAGCTGCCCAGATACGAAGACGAAGCGTTATTACGCGAACGTGTCTAAAGCTGAAGATGGATATGTAGATGACGATGGAGTGTTTGCAAACTCCGACGCTTGGAACACAAGATCTCCGAGTGACTAGGACAGTGGTTGAGTACAAAAGTGGCACAATTTTTATGATCATGCGACTTTGTTTGATGCTCTATGTTTCTCCTCTCTTTTTTGACCATCAGTTGATATTGTTTCTGGTTTTTTATATTTTGTTTGTTGTTACCTGAGCTGGTGGCCTAGCCCAACAACCGGAGAGCACGCCAAAGACAAAGTCGCTAACCTTTTTTTATCATCCGAGATGTACACGAAAAAAAGATGACAAGTTTGTCGCGTGTAAACAATTCGCGGCGGCCAAAACAGAGTGCGGGTGGAGGAGAAATTTTTTGGGGGGATGAGTTGCAGAAGGGGAGGTTCGGAGCTCGGAGGTGCGGTGTGGATAGGACAACAGTGTCACCGAAACGGAAATCAAAATGTAGGTAACCGTAACCGAGTCAAAAAGCCAACACTGAGTGGAAAAAGTGCTTGTCAATGGAATATGAACGACCCGAATATATAACAATTAAACTGACAATAATAAACTATAAGTTCTTTTGATCCACAATATCCACATTTAAAACGATAAATCAAACTTGTTTTAGATATAAATAAAATTGCTTGCAGCTTAAAGTAAAACTGATTATAATAGATTAAATTCAAATAATATTTTAGAAATATCTTCAATATTTAAAGAAAAACTCAACTTTTAATTGCATTTGAACACACAACAAAACTATGGTCATCTTTTGGCCCCAATCAAATAAGGAATCGAGCTCTAAAATTGGTTTGTCTTGTGTTATATTTGTACTTTTTGTAGAGAATTGGAGCTTAAATAGTTAAAGGATATTCTCTTCTCAGAACTCCAGAATAAATACAAAAGCTTAATCAAAAGTAACTTGTCAGTTCTTTCCAACTTTCACTTTGTTCGCATACAAATGGCGAGCACTGTTCAAGCCGTATACCCCGTCAAAAATAAAGCACATCCAACACAATCTACAGATACATTAGAAAATATCTCAAAAAATCAACACAAAAACTACGGGCAGTGGCGTCGCCGCTGAGACGTCAACTGCGACTGCGACTGTGCACTCTGGGCCAGACTGCTATTTTTTCGCATAAATCGTTAATCATTATATTAAGAGTTAAAGCTTAACGAAAAAATTACCGGTAGAACTTAAAAACTATACCGAGTCAATAGTTAGATTATAGATTTAAGAAACACCCATGCGTCTAACAATGCAAATGAGCGCCCTTTTTTTTTATTTTAAATAATTTAAATAATTGAAAAAAGTAGCATTAAAATAAAATAAAAGGCTTGAAATGGCGAAATAAAAACCTATTCTTAGCCCAAGTTTGCAATTACAATTTTTGAAAAATATTAAGTTCGTAAGATGCTTAACATTGACTTTCTTTTCTCTATTCGAAAAAATTCTTTTAAATAGTGTTGAAGAAGAGTACACACATTAAAATGTGCATAAAAAACTGCTTTTTTATTTTGTTTTATTTTATCATTACAAAAAATTTGCTTCTCTGGCATGTGAATATTGTGTTTTCCGATTTGTCTCATCCATTTACCCTTCACTTTATGCCCAATCAATGCGATCTGGCCCATTGTGCGTTGGGGGAAAAGAACAGAACGCCACAGATTTTGAGCGCTCGGATCGCGCATGAGTGAAATAAATTTTCACGCTTCCAAACGGAGCGTCAGCAGAGCAACTAAAGTGGAGGAAGAGACTTTTCGACGGCGACGTATCACAATCAGAAACGATCCGACAACCGGCCGACAACCGACGTCCATTCATAGAGTGCCTTATATTTTTTTTGTGGGGTCGCCAGATCTCCCCGATCCGATCCGTTCCGTTCCTATACTATCCGATCCGATCCGATCCGCAGAATCGGTATTCGGTTATATTTCGCGAGTGAGGTTTTTCGCGAGCGCAGAGGAGGTGGAAAATCCCACGGTTGTTACGAGTTTACGTTCTCGAAATGATCGGCTAGCGATCCCTCAGATTCAGATCCACACGAACGGTGGTCAGTGCGAGTGTTCCGATCGCGAGAAGAATTCTCCTCTCGAATGTGCGTCTTGTGATATGTTGGGAACATGGGAAAAACGGGCGCAAAGGATGCGCCACAGCTTCAGCAAAGAACGAAATTAACAAAAACATAAAAGGAGCACGGAAAAAAAGAAAGATTCGGCCCAAAAGGCACAACGAATATAAAAATCAAAATAAAAAGTGCGGACAAAAGCAGAGTCGCGCGACTTGGGTCTTCGGCCTGGGATTCTGATTAAAGCGCGCGTTTAATTTCATTTTTTACGCTACTCCCTGGTCATCGAACACACATCCTACACCCCGCCATATACCATATCCCCCAGCCAGTGGGCCCAAAAAAAAAAACAAAAAAATAATAAAAAAAAAACAATTCCCCAGTTGGACTCCACCCTTGGCCAGGTTTTTGATTCGCTGTTCAACTTTTTGGCCTGGAACTTTTTGTTTGTTTCGTTCGCCTGTATCGCGAAACCTGGCCGACAACTCCTTGGCAATATTCCTTTTGACCGCTGCTCAGTACGCCGGCAGCTTTCTCCGTGTGCGTACGCAGCCTCTGCCGCAGACAGCAGCAGAAAAACCAAAAACAAAAAGTGAAAGATCAGGAAAGATCAGCCAGATCACCCAGATCTCCTTGGATCAGAACGGTGATCATGTCGCCCGGGATTCCGCCAAAAACCGCCAACTTCCCCCTGACGAAATATATAAAAAAAATCCACTCAACTCGAGCAGCTTGATTAATTCGCACACGTCAACGATATTCAAATAAGCATCTCGTGTACTCATCGTGGCCGCAATAAAAACGGCTTTAACTTTAACTACCTGCCAAAAGAAGAAACAACAACAAAAACATTATATTTATATAGCACTCGCTCACTGAAAAAAACAGAAACAGCTCAACGGGCCAAAATTTGGTTTGTTGCCGCTGCACTTGGCGGCTCCAATCGATATGCGTTTGCTCATGGTAATTGCAATTTTAATATTCGCAATGCCAATGACTGGATTCGGCTGGTAAGTGGCATTAAATTAACTAATAAAAACATTCCTACAAAGTATCAGCATTTAAAATATGAAAATATATTTAAAAAAACTCAGTTAACTTAACAAAACATTTCTGCTGTAATTTACTGTTTGTAATATTATTTTCCATACCAGGTCAAGAACAAATTAAAGAATTAAAGTTGTTTGCTAGGTCAAACTTTAAGTACCTTGTTTATATAGCAACGTTTTATCGTTGGAAAAACGAAATTAAAATTAAGTATGTATGTTTATTTATTTCTATTTGAAATCATTTAATTGCGAACTGCTACTAAAAAAAACTTTCTATGTTAGTTTATGAATTCGGTTCTTATGGAGAAAAAATCAGTATTTACATAATTAATTTGGCGAATTTTATAATACAAAAAAATTAATATTCAGTTTTTTTCAATACAACTTTACCACTTTTGGAGGATGGTTTGGATGATGGCTAGGGCCGTCAGCTGATACCTGATGATTGAAATAAAAATTAAGCATTCTTGTATTTACCTGTGGTAAATTCACCCCATAAATTCTAAGAAAAAAAAAATAAAGTCTCTAAATATAATCTTTTAGTTTAGTCTTAGCTAACAAAGTCGCTTCTATTTGGCCCGTTGGTGCCCGCTCAACATGCAATTTATGTTCTGTTTCAATGCCAAAAAACCCATTACCACCCGCTCGGGAGGTCTTTTAACCTCAGAGCATCTGTGTTCATGTCAAACCGCATCAATTTACGAGATAGAGATTGGCGTAACAGCTTCCGGTTGAGTAGATCGAAAATAAAAAAGTGCAGGTACCAAAAATAAATGCACAGCCAAAAGCGATCTTAATGGCCAAAATGCAAATGCAAATCCAAATCAGAGCCAATCGAGCGTGGCGACCGACTCGGGGGACCTTCAAAATGTGACGTTTGATTTAGATTTAATTACATGGCAACTTTTCTACTCTCCCTCTTTTTTTTGTGGCCAAAAAAAATATATTGCATAGAAGCGGCTGAAGCCGAAAAACCAAATGACACTTGGAGCAATTTATGCGCGAAATTACAGGCGAAAAGGCGTCCAACGAGATGAGAAAATAAATAAACAAACCGAGGAGGACAGACATCAAATAGAAAGAAAAATAGTGACGGGTAGGAAGGGGCTACCTTCTTACACATAAGTTATGCACTTTGCCAAAATATTTGCCAGCAAAGTGGCATCAATGAATTTGGCCAAAGAGGTCTGCATTTGTATTTATTTGCCAAAAGGTAGAAATATTGCGGCTGTCAACGGCAGCGAAAGCCGAAATTTGCCAGGTCGGCAGGGTGGCTAAAAGGGGGCGGCGTGGGCGTCGCGTGGCGTAGACTGCATGACGATTTTGTGGCTTGCAAATATACCCATTATATACCTTTTTTATTTGTATTTTTATTTTCATGAATTTAATTTGAGTTCTGTGCAACTGGGCGCGTCAGCAAGCGACGGTGGACACCCGAAAAATTAAAGGAAAAGGTGGTGGGCTGAAAAGTGGATGGGTGTTTCCATGCTGCATCCAATTCAATTGGCACTTTTTCACAATAAATTAATTAAATAATTAAAGCTCAAGTTCAGCGCTGTCAGTTCTTTTTGCCGCCTTTTGATGTCGAACGCTGAACGAGAGATGTGGCCACATAGTAGAGGCGAATTGTCGTCCACCCAAAAGGTGCACAGAAAACAAAAATTAAACCAAAAACGTCTGCCTTTGGTTGTGCCACTTTCTACGCTTCATCTGTGCCGGTCAAGGGAGCCGCCAAAAATGCAACCAAAAAATAATTTATTTAAATAAAAAAACCAGCCAAACTGATGACAGTCTGCAGGCCATGAAGGGTGACAGATGAACCGACTGACTGAGGTGTTAAATTATTGCTGATACCACTTAAGCACTCAAGTAGTAAACAAAAAATATTTGGAAATACTTTTAAAAGAATATAAAAAGCCGACAAAAATTGGAAATAGATAAGTGTAATTTAATCTTAAAAATTTTTTTTAGGGGTAGGGCTTAGTAATTTTAAAACTTAAATTAAATTCGTTATATACCAAAATTTAAAGACTACTTTTATGGTAAGGTTTTGATACATGGTATATTGATATATTTGCATCAACTCATAATTGCGGATAAAATATTTTTAGCTTTCATTATTTATTGGCGTAAATTGTTCCACTAAGGACACATTAAAATTCCCTTAGCTATTTTAATAATCAAGCTAATTGTTGAAATTAATTACCCACTCATTCAATATCCCAAATTTAACTGACACATTCAACAAAATATTAGTAAATCCATTCCAATCCATCAGCTGCCTAAATGCACGAAACGGATCGATCAGTTTTCAATAAACGATCGAATGCGGATCGACGTAATTTAAATTTTACAATGGGTCCGGAAATAGCTAAAACGAAGCGATTTGGGGGGCTTACAGCCCCACAAAATCATATCTCATTTTGTTTGTGTGCATTTTGCGAAATTCGCAGGCAAAGTGCATTAAATCAAACGGTCGTTGTGTGAGCGATTGAGATCATAATCGATGGGCCAGAGATGAGCAAATGTGGATCGGCGGGGATCGTACTCGTATAGTGTGTAGATGTTCCGTTAAATGAATGGAAATTCCAGGCAGCAGAGGGACCTACAAGGGGCATCAGCCAATTACAGAGAAACTTACAACAAATTGCCGTTGATCGGGCAGAAATTTAGCGCTGATGTGTCTGGAATTTAATTAAAACCAGCGCGCGAGACGATGATGAAGATCTTGCAATTTGCGAGATCTGATGCTGCTGTTTGGTTTTTGCCCCCCAAAAGCCCTAAATGAGCTCATTTCCGTTGAGAAAATCATTTGACATTTGCTGGCGACTTCCTGCTTTTCATTCAATATGCAATACACATTTTCATTCATCGAAAATCGGTTCAGTCAGTGCCCATGCTCATCTTTTGATTTTTCATCTATTTTTCTTTTGGCATTCGCAGCATGTGAAATGGTAATTAATGCCAGGCGCGGCGTTTATGGGTTAAGGCAAGCCCGAGGGGGTGGTTGGTGGCCCAGTGGCCACTTAGTCTCAAGCTGCGTTGGCTCCACAGTCGGTGGTTGCATCAACAACATTGCTCATACGCCCCGTGCAACCACGATATTATCTCTGCCGCAAATTTGGCACACTTTATGAGCCAGCAGAAGCAGAAGCAGCAACAGCAGCAACAGCAGCAGCAGCAACAAACACCCCCAACAAAACGCAAAAACAGCACAATAATTATGTTCAACTAACGAGCAGACAAAACTCGGCCAATTGCCAAAATCCAATGCAGATGAGTTGATTATGAGCAGCAAAAAAGAGTCTCTGACACAATTCGCTCGACATTAACGAGAGTCTCAGTGCTTGCCTGCGTGTCTGTAGAGAAAGTTTCACGTTCAAGTGTCTTTCCCCAACCTCAACCCCAAAAAGTAGCTACTTACCAAGGCCCTAGATGTTGCAAATCTTTTAATTAAGAGTCATGCCATTTGTTTATTTTGTTAATTTGTCGCTTTCCCCCCGTTATACTGTCGAATGTGTCTGTCTTCGGCCTGTCTGTCGTCTGCATCATAATTAAATTGGATGACGAAACAAAAGAACACGACAAGGGTCAAGTTGGAGGACATTATGGCACATGAACAGGTAGAGGGCCAACCCAAGATGTCTGTCAGGCAATGTGAGTCGAGTGCCCCAAGAATACGTACATGTCGTCATCTCAAAAGGATGATGATGCACTGCGATCAGGGATCTTAGGAAAGTACGGAAGCTTATTTATAGCGAACGTAAATAAAAAGAAATTATGATTGTTTATAACAACTTTAAGAAAATTGGAATTGTTTTAAAACTCTAAGTTAATTTGAATCTCTACACAAATCTGCTTTTCCTTTCATAATTTGGTAATGTGAATATAAGTTCATTGTAATCTATATATCTATATTGTAATTGTAATCTATATATCTATATCTATATATATATATATATATATATATATTTTCAAGCAACCAAGACTTTCTTTTTATAATAAATCCATACTGTCAAATACTAAAACTAATAATAATTTAGAAAAACTATATATTGAAAAGATTAATATTTTTTATTAAAATATTTTTTAAATTAAATAATTTGTTTACCTTATGACATACATTTATTAAATATCTCATGACAGACAAATAAAATAATTTTATATTTAATCTATACTTTTCCCAATCATAATATTGTCAATTTTTCGTCGTATCAACATTTTTGTCTAATGGCGCTGGCATTCTAAGCCCCATGGAATCCTTGTCCATCAGCCAGTGCCCAATTCTTTGTTCTCACAACCTCAATCACTGTGATTAAGCACAGTTTAGGCATCCTTGACATGAACATGACCATGTCCGTGCGCCGATGATCGTTACCTAAGGCCAGCTACGCCTATTTGAGCCATAATTAAGTTAAACGTTGTCGCAATTTGCGCACCTCAAAGTCACCAAGTCCGAGATTGATGTCGCCTTTGTAGGCCCAGGGAGTTAAGTGAAGTTAAGGCACTTAAGGCTAAAGTTGAAGTCGTGCCCTGCCCACTGGCACTGGAGGAGGCTTGTTAAAGGAATGACATTGCCTGGCGCAAGAAATACTCATAGTAAATATGCCTGAATTATTAGCCAGCGTTTTTGTTGCGCCAATTGGACATGGACATGCCTGGGAAACAGTACGAATAGCTAAGTTTTATGATTCCAGCATTGACACAAAAAAGGAGTTTAAAGCCAGTGATTTAGGTATAAAAAAATAGAAAAGACTTTTTGGATGTTATCTAAGAATTCAAATTATTAAGACAATTACGGATTCAGTTAAAGTTTTTGATTGCATTTTACATTATTGTTATTTAATTTACTAACAATATTTAGGTCACTATATTTTGGTATCGCTCAGGGTTCGGTATAAAAAGAAATAGGGGTTTTCTGAGTTCCAAAGCGACGGCGCCAACACGTTAATATGCTAATTGCCAAATGACAAACGCCAGTTTCTTTGATCCCCCCTCACCACCAAAAAAAAGGTGCAAAAAAGCAGCATGCGGCGCCCACACACGATGCCGCACCCACCGGATCAGATCGGTTCCCAACTCCCAGTCATGTCAACACCTTTTCGGTGTTTCTTATTTATTTATTTACGTTTTTTGCCAGTAGCCGTGGCTTGGGGGGACCTAATCGATTGTCAATGCTGCCGCCCACATCAAACGCTTCTCCCTCGAAATTCGTATGCACAAGAGATCAGCACTTGCGCCGAGGCATTCTGTAGACAAATATTTGAGCGCGTAAATGAAACTGACCAGCCACAACAGCACTTGACTTGGCCGAGTCAGAAATCCAACGGACCAGCTCAGAGTCAGGCAGTCAGAAAAGTCAGAAAATAAAAACAGACAGAGAGCCAGCCGGGCGACCAATCCAATGGCCATTCATTCACTTGTCAACGCTTTGTTTAAATACTTTGCCACTCGCATGTTGACAAGTGGTTTAAGTCGTTGATTTGTTTACACTGACCCCAGGGGAAGGTGGGGAAGATTGTGGCATAGAGGAGCGAAGGAGCTGGACAACCTGCTCAGGCAACTCACAATAATAAGTCAATCAAACGATTTTACTTATTTACAGGGACATATAGAGATAGCAAGTAAAGAAAACTGCAGCAAAGGCAAAAGTATTTTGGGGAAAATTAATTGTTTTAAATAAATAGTTTTCATGAAATTATACATTTAAATTGTATCATTTATTTTGGAAAGTTCTTAAATTGGTTTAAGCATAATTATTAATTATAATTCGGAACTTTCTTACTTTGCCAAATGAAAAAAATAAGTAAATTTTAAATACTAATCTTGTTATAAGTTATCCTTAAAGTTTTCACAAAATATAATGCTTTATATTTTGTTTAGAAGATGCTTTAAGAGTTTTTAACTAATGATTTAGTTTTAAAATTTAAATTTATTCAATGGCTTACAGTTGCCGAAATTTTCTGCTATCTTTGCTTTCTTGAGCCTGCATTTTACTGAAGCTTATTCTGTAAACTAAGCAATATTCAAAATAAAATTTAAAACATTCCCGCAAAATTTTGCGAAATTCCCGCAAAATTTCAAAACTTTTGGTAACCCACTTATAGTATCTTCAAGTCCATGGGGTATGGGATAGTATGGGAAATTTCAACCACTTGTCTGTTTGGGACTACCAAACCAAACCGGGCACTTTGATCAATGCCAAAGCACCCAAAGAGAGAGAAAGGCAGATACAAAGGGAAAGAGAGGGAAAGCAATCACTGAAAGTCCATTGAAGCCTATAACGACACCCATACCAGGCCAACAAACGCACACGTTTACTGGAAGCAAAATAAAGATACGTTGCCAAGTGTTGCCTTACTGGACGGGATGGTATGGAATAGTATGGTATGGCATGGAATGGTATCGTATGGGATGGCATATGGGAGAGGGGGAACGGGAAGGGAATCGAAGGGGGCAGAGGGATCGGAAGAGGGACCTGAGAGACCTGAAGTTGTGCTGGCTCCTTTTCATGTTTGCCGACAACTTCGCTGCCGACTTCGCTGCCAAGTAAACTTCAGTTCAACTTCAAAAACCAAAAAGTGTCGAACGATCGGTTGCTCCACTCTCTGTGCGGCTATTTTCCGCTTAACAAAAATCTCCTTTTTTTGTGTTGTGTTGTGTTTTGAGTTGCTATTTGTGTTCGGTGGTGGTGGCAACTTGTGTGGTTGAAAGGTGTTTGAGTTCTTTAGATCTCTCCAGTCATCAACGCAACGCAGCCAAGACGTCATCATCATCAAAGCAGCAACATCTAGAGTAGCAGCAGCAGCAACAGCAGCAGCAGCAACATCTAGATTCCCAACAGCAACATCTCGATCGAAGATGAAGATGATCATTGTGATTTGAACTTCAATTGTTTCTACTTTGTTTACCAGCGCGTCTATCATTTGAAGTTTGTGTTTGGCGGTCGAGAGGCGATAGCGATTGTTTTTGTTGCCTTTTGGAGTTAATATTTTCGTTAAGTACTTGTGCGTGCGTGTGTCTGCTCTATTTGTTATTTGATTTTTTGTTTCATTTTGTAGCTATTAAGTTGTCATAATCTCCTCGAGTGTTCTGGAAGTGTGTGTACATTTTTTTGTGGCATTGCCACAGGGAGCCACAGTGCAACAGCCAGGTGGCAAAAGCAACCCAGGTGGGCATCGATAATGGGAATTTGAAGCGGTTCAAGTGGTTTATCTACTTGCTCTGAGAAAATTGGGAGCACCAGAACTGGGTTATCAGATATGCGGGAACGATGAGAATTTTTAAAATAATAATAGTTATAATTTTAACTTTGTGAATAATTTAAAAATTAACTAAACACATAATTTAAAAATACATTTTTATTTATAAGCAAATAATTAAATATTTTTATTTATACAAGGAGTAAGCTCTAACTATTTAATCTGGATAAATCGTAATCGTTTAAAATGTATTCCCAATCGCGAAAACACCCGGATAGCGCTTTCATGTAACGCTATGTTTTTGCAAAACATAGTAAAATTGGTAGTATATATCTGAGACAACAAATCCGATCCACCAATCATCCGGTTATTAGCATATTTGTCGGCTAAGCTTCCACTTATGAGTTTGGCGCCATCCAATGCGTAAATCATTCCGCACACAAGTTCATTAAAAATAGTTGTATTTATTTATTTATACTGCTTAGCCGAAATCTGTCTGCGTTTATTTTTCTAAAATCCCAAAGCTGCAGAAAGCCAAAGGCAAAAACACAAAACTTCCAAAAGATGAACTCAATTTTTGTGCTTTTTTTGGCTTTGTTCGTCGTCATATGCTGCGTATACGTAATGGCGACCATAAAGAGGTCCTCATCCATTGTTTATTGTTATAAAACCGAAGCGTTGCCAAAAGTCGATCAATATAATTTCACCCACACTTACGCACACCAACATTTCGCAATTTTCCCAATCGATGCAATTTTCGTTTTCATTTTGAATGCCATTTGCCGGCTGGTTCTGCGGCGTTAAAATTTAATTTAGGTGGAAAATTAATAATTACCCAACAATGTGGGTGCAGTATGCACACACATATATCTGTGTGTATACCTATAGTAAAATATATATTCATTTTGAGATCGACTTGTCGGGTATGTGTCAGCATTCAGAAGCGGCCACTGAAAATTGTTACTGCGGCTATCGCTCGCCTTTTGCGCTGATTTATGTTTTTCCATTTCAGATTTATGACTTTTTAATAGCTCAATCGCTCGGTTTTTCGCCTTTTTTCACATTGCACATTCGCGTGAAATTTACTTTGGCTGTTCGTGAACTTTGCGCCGATTTCCAGTTGTGTGGAAAGTGTTTCACATGGTTTATGCTCTGTCCACTTCGAGATCAGGGGTAAATAAAGCGCCTAATAGGGCCTGCTGCTTCGGTTATTTCTGCTGCTAGTTTTGCTCTTACCCCAAGCACCGATTGATCGATTTGTCCATCATCCATTGCTTCCAGCGAACTGCGATTGGTATTTTCAGAACCATAAAAGTGAGTGGAACACTCTCAGCTGAGTCAGTCTAAAAATACAAGAAATCACTGCCAAAGCTTCGGCGAACTTCAAAATGTGAGCTACGTTCAGATTATTCATCGATGACAAAGTGCTTGGTCTGATAAATGCCTTCGGGTCAGAGACAAACCCTCGAAGGAAAACAAAAAGTTGGTCATAGATAATCAAATACGTGATTGCTTATCGTATCTGACGTTAAAGATTTGAGTGTGCCCTAGGCGGAAACTATGGATAATACGTTACTGAAATGTTTGCAAGAAATTAAAATTGAAACCAGTCAGGCTCGTTCAGGTTTTCAGTTAAAACTTTTCTTTTGAGTATGGATCAGTTTTAGCAAAAACTTAAAATACTGTTGGTCGATATTATTTTATCATCTGAAAGATTTGAGCCGACTTAACTTAGACCTACATACTCAAAGTCGTTGAATGTAAAATTCAAAGCTAATTACTAATTTTCAGATTTAAGTTTTGTTTTTACTTATGGATGTTATATTTCCATTTGAAGCGTATGCTAGTTTTTTAGTTGTAGTACTCTGAACGTAAGAAGTACCTAATAAATATAAAACGTAAAAACCAATGGATTATTATTTTTTTCAGGGCCGAAGGCACCAACATCCTTCTCGATCCAAATCTAATGTGCAAAAAGACACGTCGTCTGCGGGGCAAGTTGGCCGAAATCTGCCGACACGATTCGGCCCTTCTCAAAGAGATCATCATCAATGGCATCAACCTGGGCTTCCGCGAATGCGAATTTCAATTCCGCAACCGGCGGTGGAATTGCACTGTTCTGCGCAAGAGCATGAGGAAAATCTTAATGCGTGGTAAGTAGTTTTCCAGAGTCGAACGAAACTAGTTTTATAGGTGGAGGGGTACTGCTCTCACTTTATTATGCAGTGCCAACAGGCAACCTGTCAACACTCTCTGAGTCACACAGAGTGAAACCAGGTGGAGATGCTATCGCAGTTTGCCTGCCTAATTACAACTCATCGTTGCACGCCCCGACTTTATTTTATTTTACTTAATTTCTTTTGGGTTGTCATGGACAAGGCCTTGCAGACCGCACCATCCATCAAGTTGCATAATAAAAATGCAGCGACCCGCGCTGATGAATAGCGCCTGAAATGAGCCTACAAAGCTGTCAATTTTAATAAATTATTGCACAGGAAAAAGGCAGGCGAAAAGAGGAGGACTGATCCTCGTTCGCTCGCTGCACTTAATGACGACAATGCGCAAACAAAACACATACCAAACGGTGGGTATGTGCCATAAATTCCACGGACGTATGCACCGAAATTCTCCCTTTTTTTCTGGATTAAAGCCTCGCCCTGTCAACTTGTCAGCAAAAAATAATACAATCTCGAAGAAGTGTCTCGTGTAACACTCCATTTTAGGGTGGTTCAAGACATATCACCTGTCGCGAAGGAAAAAGAACCAGCACTTCACCTTCGAGCGCATTACAAGCTTATGCAAATTAAAAACCGAGCGATTACATTTGCGATTCGGATTTCGATTTCGCTTTCATTAAACGTGACTGTAAACACCACGAGTCACAAGCGGACATTTGCGATTTGTGATTTGCATAGAGCAGCGATCGTTGATTGGTGATCGCCAATCGAACAAGCAATAAATCATTTTGTCGCCGAGACTGACAAATTAAAATCAATCAGGCGACACGTGCTGACAAGGCTAATGATTGAGGATTGATTGAACGTGAGGCAAATCGGTTGTAGCACAGGGTGCTCTTTTTATTTAAGCAATTGGGAATAATTTAAAATAAACATATGCATTTTTATAAAAGAAATGTAACCATAACCAGCATTATTAATAATTAAAGCAGTGGGTTGATATTGTGGGTCGAAAAACAAGACAAAATGGTTTTTAAAGTTGTGCAAATATATTTAATTTTATTAATTTATTATTAAGTTATGATATGATATTAAGATTGTGATTTTCTTCTTATTAGGGATATTTAAAATTAGCTTGACAATATACCTGCATTAAATAGATGAAATAAAATAAACATTTTTTTCTCCCTTTTCCAGACTCCCGAGAGACGGGCTTCGTAAACGCGATCACAGCCGCTGGAGTGACCTACGCGGTGACGAAGGCGTGCACGATGGGCACGTTGGTGGAGTGCTCCTGCGACAAGGCGCACATGCGCAGAAACGGCGGACAGCCCCAGATGGTGACGGCGGCAACCGCAGAAGCCGCATTAGAGCGGCAGCAGGAGGCGGCGATGTTGCGACAACAGAATCCCCTGCTGGATCCACATCTCAGTCTACAGGAGCGAATGAATCGAATCAACAACGGCAGTACCATGACGGATTTATCCCCGCTGGAAAGCAGGAACGGGCGGAATCGCAAGCCCGGTGGGAGGCGGGGGCGTCGCAAATTCTGGGACAACATCAAGTTTCCCGAAGGGCAGTGGGAGTGGGGCGGATGCAGTGACAACGTCAACTTTGGCCTTCGTCACTCACGGGTTTTCCTCGACGCCAAGCAAAGGCAACGGCGGAGCGATCTGGGCACGCTGGTCAAGTTGCACAATAATAATGCTGGCAGATTGGTAAGTACAATGTTTACTTTAAAATCATTGAAAAGGGATATTAAATAGCCTAGTTAAGTACTAGTCAAAGTTGGATTTGATTCTAGCAAATATTTATAAAGCACATTTCATAGATTTTTCAAAGTGTAATTTAATTTAACCCTTTAATTTACTTTGCAATTCAATTTAATTTTAACAAAACGGGAAACCCAGCAATAGATTTCAAAATTTAAATTAAATTGATATTTAAAGTTTTAAAAATATGTTTTAAAATTTAATGCTGGTATCCTTCCAGGCCATTCGCGATGCCATGCGGCTGGAGTGCAAGTGCCACGGGCTGTCCGGCTCCTGCACGGTGAAGACCTGCTGGCTGAAGATGCCTCCGTTCCGGGAAGTGGCAGGACGACTGCGCGACCGATACGACAGTGCCAGGAAGGTGACGTTGCGCAACGATGGGAATAGCTTTATGCCCGAGATTCCGCACACAAGGCCGGCGAACAAGTACCAGCTCGTATTCGCGGATGATTCGCCCGACTTTTGCACACCCAACGCGAAAACCGGGGCGTTGGGAACCCAGGGTAGGGAGTGCAATGTGACCAGTTCGGGATCCGATCGCTGCGATCGATTGTGCTGCAATCGAGGACATACTCGCAGGATTGTCGAGGAACAAACCAATTGCAAATGCGTTTTCAAGTGGTGCTGTGAGGTGACATGCGAAAAGTGCCTGGAGCATCGAGCAGTTAACACATGCCTTTGAGTGAGCAGCCACACCATTATTCACCATCATTATTTGTATTATTTTCTTCGGTTTAGTCAGGAATAGAATTTTGAAAGCTTTCCATTTCGCGTGATAGAAAACACACACACTTACAGAGAAAACGTTTTAAGTATTAACTAACAAGTAAACACGAGTATCTCTAATCTTTTAGCTAGTTGTAAATAAGAAATAAAACTCACGTAAACATGCCTATATCATTCATATGCCAATCGTGTAAGCCTTGTAAATAGTTGTAATAAAAATGAAAGAAAAACTAAACCAGAAAATTATTATTATTTAATTTTAATTTTCAGCAGAAGCTTTTTGCAATCCAATCAAATGTTGATAAAGGGTTATGGTAAATTGTTTGTATTCAAATATTTTTTATATAAACATATATTTTAAAGCACTCTATTCAAATTATTTATGCTATGACATATTTATGCACTTTTCTTTATTGAAGTTTATTTTCTAAGATCACTTAAATACCTTCTTTTTTTTAAGTTACAACTCCGCCTGTCATCCAATTAATTGCAAACAAATTGAATTTTAAGTAACCAGATTGTCTACAACAAAATTATATGCTAAACGGAAATGTATTTTAAATCGATTCGCCCATTGATTAAAATCTGCATAAATGATTGAACGTAAATTAATGAAGACAATACAACAACACACAAATCGATTGAACAGACTGGCAGCAGAAAACAAGTTCCCAGTTCCATTCAAGTGTATGTATCTATCTTTTGGGCATAGTCATTCCGTTGACTTTCCCATAAATTAACACAATTTTATTGTTGTCGACACGAGATTAAAATCTATAGAAATTTGCCTAAACAGCAAACAAAAGTTCGATGACAACGAAAAAAATGCAAAACGCATTTTGAACAGAATGAAAATTGATTTGCCATTGTGCATAAATTACGATTCACAGTCAGATCAATTGAGCGCCATCGATCTTTGGGTGCATAAATTAAGAAATCAAATCGTTGTCGCTTAATGCATGTAATTAAATGAATACCATATTGTGATGTTCCATCCTAAGCAACAGAAGCCAACGATCATGCATTATAAATTATGTTATCAGCAAAATGAAAGTCATTGGACTTGCAAATAGGATAACCAGAAGTTGTTGATGAATGGGCTAAATCGTTTAGTGTTTTTTACTAATTTTATTTGTGGGTGGGATTTTATTTCAAACTGAATTAGTTTGAGAGTGGTACACAAAAATAAACTTTCTGAATTAGGTCGACAACATAGTAACAAATATTTACTATGACTTAATATTGTATACATAAGGAGCTTAGCCAAAGCTCTCACCCAACCAAGAACAGAATTAAAGAATCCAGAGAGTTATCCAATACCAAGACCGAATTCCGATCCATTTGCCTACTTGGAGCTGATTGTGGAGCTCTTTTTTGGTTTATTATATTGGGGCTGCCGAGAGGACAAGCCCATGCCAGCGATAAGATACTCCAACGGCAACATCAGCGGCAGCAACTCTCCAAAAGCAACAACTAATTAACAATCGCATTCATTTTATTTATCGTACAAATGCAAACCGCTTGACTTCCAAAAAAATAAGAGAGAAACAAAAGACGAAAACCGTATCTGCATGCATTTATAAAGCCTCCGATGTGGATACGGGATTGGGTTCCAGATTGGATTGGGATTGTGGAATCTTCTTGGCCGCTGCTCTGGCTTTGGTTCACTTGACTGAACAAAATGTACGCCGAGATATATGTGCGTTGGGATCTCATCTCTTCTCCTCCGCCTTGCGTTGTTTTTCCAGATTCCAGTGGCTTTATCTTGGGCGCGTTAATGAGATTTGCTTGTATCTGAAGCCATTCGGTAGATGCGTATCAGTGGATTTCAATTAATTGTGGCGACGCTTATTAGTCATCCATCTAACAAACTAAACACGAGACTGGCGCTACCTCAATCTCACTCCGTGTCCATTATATTTTCTAGAGTGCCATTGACCTCCGACTGACCTTGGCTGCATCTTTTTCTGGTATGTTAATAAAATTAAATTAAATTTAATGATGTTTTTGGGCCAAGAAAAATATGCCACCAAAATGTTACAGTAAAAATAAATATTCTCACAGGCTTTAAATTTAAATAAATTTTTTTTTAATTTTTAAAATAAGCCCTTTTTGCCGAAGAATGGTAAATTCTAAACATCATGTTTAGTTGTAGCTAAAAATAAAATAATTTATTCTTAACTTTAGTTTTGATCAACTTTCGAATGATTTGATTCCGATTAGGCATTATTTGTGTAATTCTATCATATTAATAAAACTATTAGGCATTTTTTTTCTTTCTCTGCAATTATTTTCTGTGAACGCGGCTAATTTTGTTTCAAGTGGCGCCTATAATGGCGCCCCTTATCAATCTGATGTATAGGATATATATATATATATATGTGCCTATATAGACACCAACTAATGGCTTAATTCGGAGGTGTACGTATCGATTCTCAATGATCAGGCTGCAGGAACCATTTTAGCCAAATTGCAGTTCTTGGCCAGCAGTTCTCTCAAAAGGAGAAGCAAACCACAAACACAACGGCAGACGGGGCGCTACAACAATAAAGAAGAACAACTATTAAGACCGCTTGAACGCCTGTCCGGGATCCAAACAGCAACGAAAAACTACAGAAACAAAACCTGAAACATGAAATTCCTGCGTAATTTGTAAGGAAAGGCGTGAAGAACACCAACGAAGGCAACACCTTAATTAATGTTATTAAAATGGAACGAACGACCGACCGATGGACCTGGAACCTGGAACCTGCAACCTGGAGAACCTGCAACCTGGACCTCAACCTGGGTCCAGAAAGAGACCTACAGCCCGAGAAGGCTCAAAAGACAACCCGAAGAAGTGGAAAAGAAGAAGGCAAGCGTAAAAGAATGTGGCAAAAAAAGGGAAGGGAAAAAGGCTAAAGCAAAAAGGGTCGATCGTCCACAAAACTCTTCTTTGGGTTGGTCAATCCATGACTTTGACTCTGAAAGTGGCTATGAATTTAGAAATAGTGGCCATGGAAAATCGGGAAATCTAGAAGAGATTATGGTGATATGAAACCGATTTAATAAAATTATAAGCTAATTTTTTAAAGCAAATCAAGATTTAATAAATCATATCCTAACAAAAATGTGGTATATATAATTTTTAATTTGATCTAAAATTAAATAACTGGGACTTGTTTTTTTGGTGTAAGTTCTAAAGGACATTATACCCAAAAATGGTGAAGTACCACAGCTTACAACATTTAAGACTTTAAAAGTTTTTTAAATTTACAGGCCCTTAAGGGATTTCTTTGAAAAGTTCCCAGGCAAAATGCAAAAATGTGGCCATCTGGTGATCAGACACGCTCCATAAGCAAAACTGGAGACTTCTCCACTGATTCCTTTACAAAATCCATGGTCTACCCGAGTTAAAGTCGCTGTCCATTGTGGCTGGGTTCCCAGCGTTCTAAGACGTTAAGGCAGATTTATCACTGGACACTCTGGAGCGCTGACTACTTGACATATTCATTAAATTTGCCACATTGTTGCCGGCAAAGAGACGGCAGACAAAGGAGATGATGCTCATCATTTTGACACCTTAATGTGGTAATTAGGGTTTTCCCCCACTTCCTGCGCTCGCTGCCGCTGAAGATCCTTAAAAGCCGATGATCGTGAGCAAATATTAACACAGATCGGATCGCAAAGATCGCAGATGGATGGGCAACGCCCTACTCTGCTCCGACTTCTCCGACCCTTAACGGTTTACGGCGAATTGGCTTAAATTATTTAAAGATTACAACCTCCAAGCGGGGCACAAAAAGGAGGCAAAGATAAGGAAAAAGATCATCACCCCGAACGATCTGTCTGCATTTGCGATCGTGAATCCTTTTTCGGGTGTGAAGATTATGACACAGCAGAAATGGCAGGCGGCGGAACCAAAACGAAACGAAAGTCGCTGCCAGCAATTAATTTCAAATTTTTTTTCTGTCCTCATGGCAGCAGGGCAGCAGGGCAGCTGGGTCCCAAGGTGATCCAAAGAAATTGCAGACAAATTAAGATAAATGAATTGTTTAATTGTTCCATGGGGCGCAGGATTTTTTGTGCTCTGTGCCCTGCTAATATGACTTGTAATGTGAAAAATGAGTGAAGGGGTAAGGCTCTATACAATGTTGTGTTTAACAGATGAAAGCAGCTGATTTGGAATATTGCTTTTGGGATCAATAAACCATAGTTTTTGTTTAATTAATGAATGAGAGTTCATGTCAAAGTTCATTCGACTTAAACAAATTTTTAAAAACGCTGCTATGAACATTTAAATTTTACAGACAACCCACAGATTTTAAAAATATATGTCCTTTAATAACATTATATACAATTAAATATAGAAGATATAATAATTGATGTTTATTTTCAACAAAAAAATCCTTGAACTTTCTTTTCAAAATTGTAAGTCATTGGAGTAATCAATTTTTTATCTTATCCTTATAATCCTAAATCCTAAAAACATAAGAATAGCCCTGATTGTATGTTTTGCCTTATAAAAATAAATTTAATGTTCATAAATAGTTTTATTGCATTTGTCGGCAGCTTAAAGTATTTCCTATCCATAAAAGTTTCGCAATCAATTTTAGTGTTATTACAATTCTTCATTGCTATTAGTTAAGCATTAACTCAAAAGGCAAGGGAATCATCAATCAAAGTCTTGATGTCTAAATAACACAACACCAAAGTTGAGCCTTTTGTCCAACTTTTGTTGTGGGTTTATTGAGCCTGAGTTCTTAGCCTCGACCACAAAGGACTACCGCGCTAATTAATACCAAACCGAAAGGCAGATCTCGAACCGTTCGTGCTCCAACTCTTGGGCTTAAGCCACACACGGCTCACGATCGCCATCGCCATCTTCATCTCAATCTCCATCTAAGCTAAATAAAGTTATTAAGCCTTGAAGCCAAGAGGGAAATGTTGCAGTGCCAAAAAAAATGGGGCGGAGGGGGGAACAAGAGGAAAGACTGGGACTGGGAAAGGAAAGGCCCAAAACGCAGCATGTGTTAAAATTATATAGAGAGTGCGTGTGTGGACCGTACGAGTGGACCCCCCTAATGGAGATGGGCTCAACTCGGAGTGAATTCGCCTGCCGAAGGCCCGAACTCAGAGTTAATAAAAAACACATAATTGCGTATGTTTTGGGGTCTCTCAGCGGAGATCCTCAGCATCCTTTCGCCCCCCCCAACCCTTTTTCCGCAACATCCCAGCGCCCGATCAAGTGCGAAG